TGTGTTGGGGGGTTCTTAGGTTGTTTTCATTTTAACTAGAGGTAGTGTGGTATAGTGGTTAGAGAGTCAAACTAGGACCTGGGAAATCCAGGTTTGAATCTCTCATCTGCCATGGAAGCTTGCTGGGTCACCTTGGGCCAGTCAGTGATTGCTTGCATATGGATTTTGCTATTTCACACAATAAAATCGACTTGCAAAGTGCATTGAAAGTGGCTTGAAACGGCATAGTTAAGCAAACGTGAAAGTGCCCAAACTCCCAGCCTAACCTACTTTACAGGGTTGTTGTGAGTACAGAGGAGAGGGGAATGATATAAGCCACTTTAGGTCCCATTAAGCAAAGTGATAAAAGTTTCTAATATGATTAGAAATAGAAGAGAACAACAACAAAAAAGGACCAAAAAGAGATCCGTTCCGCAAGATCCAAGAAATAAAAGGGAAATTTTAAGCATGGTTAGGCATGCTGAAAGATCAACATGGAAAAATATTAACTGAACAGGAAAAGATAAAGAAAAGATGGGAAGAATACGGACTACACAGAAAAGATTAGCAGGGGTGTCAAACATAAGGCCCCGGGAGCCACAACCGCCCCCTCCAGGACTCTTAAGCAGCCTGCAAGCAACTGGTGCAAGGGAGGGAACAGGAGGCTGCTCGGGGGGGCAGAACCACTCCGATTATGGCTTCAGCACAGCAGAACAACCTCATCTGTAGCAGTCAAACAGAACCCCTTCACTTCAGGGACAGCCTCACTGGTAAGTTGGAAGCTACTACAGCTGCATTCATACCTCTCCGCTTGACTTGCAGCTCTGGGGATGCTGTCCTGGATGGCCGCAGGGATCAGCATTTGCATGTGGGACAGGTGCAGACAATCCTCTGTTAGGCCCTGCTGGCAGCCAGCTCCACCACCATATTCATGCCCCCCCATGAGACAGGTGTGCTTTGGCTCATGGGGGGCATTCTTTGGCAGTTTCTTCTACACAATGGGGGCCTAGTCCTGCCACTGAGCATACAACTAGGTGGCCAGGCCTCCCTCCCCCATGGACCACCCAGCACATGGCTCAGGCCGACAAAGTGACATTTATGTCCCATTTGGCCCTCATAACAAATGAGTTTGACACCTCTGGATTGAAGGATGACAAATTCCTTCAAAGAACAAACTTTTAAAGAAGAATCTATAGCTTTAGAAAGTGAAGTGAAAGCTGCACTGAGCAGCTGGGAGAAACAAATCACCAGGAGTACATGGGGTATCAATAAAGCTATTCCAAACCACAGAAACAGAATCTATCAAAATATTAACAAGAATATGCCAACAAATATGGAAAACAAAACAATGGCCCACAGACTGGAAATGCTCTATTTACATTCTAATTTTAAAAATGGAGATGTCAAAGACTGCAGCAACTATCGGACCATCACATTAATGTCTCTCACAAGTAAAGTGATGCTCAAAACCTTACAACAAAAATTGTTACCATATATGGAATGAGAAATACCAGATGTTCAAGCTGGATTCAGATGTGTTTCATAGGTTACAGCAAAGCTTTTGTCTGTGTGGATCATGAAAGGCTTTTGTTGGTTTTAAAAGAAATGGGTGTGCCACAGCATCTGATTGTTTTGATCCAATGACCTGTATGCTGAACAAGAGGCTACTGTTAGGCATTGGACAGAATATGGAGAAACAGAATGGTTTCCAACTGGGAGTCAGACAAGGATGTATTTTATCTCCCTATCTCTTGAATCTATATGCATAACATATTATATGAAAAGCTGAATTTAGGGTTGTCAGGTCCCTGTTGGCCACCACTAGGGGACAGTGAAGTAGAATTGTCAGCTTCAGGTTGGGAAACTTCAGGAGATTAACAGGTGGGGCATGGGGAAGACAGGGACCTCTGTGGGGTACGATGCCATAGAGTCCACCCTCCACAGTATCCATTTTCTCCAGGTGAACTGTTCCCTGGAGCTTGGAGATGAGCTGTAATTCTGGGGGATCCCCAGGTTCCTCCTGGAGGCTGGCATCCCTAGGCGGATTAGATTTACATGAAGGTGGAGTGAAAACTGGTGGAAGGGACATTAACAATTTGAAATATGTGGATGAAGCCACATTACTGGCAGATAATAGTGAAGACTTGAAATGACTATTGATGAAGATTAAAGAGAAAATGCCAAAGCAGGATTACAGCTGAACATCAGGAAAACAAAAGTAATGACTACCGGGGGTGGGGTGGGGGATTACATAACTTTAAGGTTGACAGTGAAGAAACTGAAGTTGTTCAAGATTTTCTGCTCCTTGGCTTCATCATCAACCAAAAGGAGACTGCAACCAAGAAATCAAAAGGATGCTGACACTGGGAAGGGCAACTATGAAGGAGCTAGAAAAGATTCTTAAGTGTAAGGATGTGTCGTTGATTACTAAAGATCAAAATAATTCATAACATTTCCACATTATGAGTGTGGAAGTTGGAAAAGGAAGGAAGTTGACAGGAAGAAAGTTGATTCCTTTGAAAAATGACATTGAAGGAGAGTTGTACTATGGACCACCAAAAAGAAGTGGGTTGGAGATCAAATCAAGCCTGAACTGCCCTAGAAGCTAAAATGATTAAACTGAGGCTATGAGATGGCAAGAAGAAGAAGAAGAGGAGATTGGATTTATACCCCGCCCTTCACTACCCAAAGGTGTCTCAGAGCAGCTTACAAACTCCTTTCCCCTCCCCTCCCCACAACAGACACCCTGTGAGGTAGGTGGGCTGAGATAACTCTTGACAGAAAATGCTCTTTTTCAAGAACAGCTGTGCCAGAGTTATGGCTTGCCCAAGGTCACCCAGCCAGGTGAAAGTGGAGGAGTGGGGAATCAAACCTGGTTCTCCCAGATTAGAGTCCTGCACTTAACCACTACACCAAACTGCCTCTCAGAGTCACTGGAAAAGATGCTAATGCTTGGAAAAGTTGAAAGCAGCAAGAAAAGAGGAAGACCCAACATGAGATGGATGAATCGATCAAGAAAGCCACAGCCCACAGTTTGCAAGACCTGAGCAAGGCCGTTTACAGTAGGGACCTTTTGAAGATCATTAATTGAGGGACTGCGTAAAAGTCAAATTATTGTGTAGTGGGTTGACCGGTTGACCGCGTGGCTAGGCCTACTCAGCTCCCATGACATGGTGCACGCTTGACTCTTACACAACTAAGACAACTTACACAACTTAGACAAAGACAAACGGCCCGCAGGCCAACTATATACATATCCAGGGGACACCCATTGGGAGGTTCGAATTTCCCTCCCCGTTTCCCTTGGCTCCTATTGGAGAGACCAAGAGACTGGTTTCCATTGTCCACCCAGGGTCAAGCCCTGGGTCGCCGCTGGCCCCTGGTGGCGGCCAGCATACACAACACAAATCTAGATAATTATATATATATTTATTCAGAGGCAAGATTTTCCCTCCATTTTTCTTTCCCTTTACAGACTGAACTGCCCTAGTAATGTGTTTTCTTTTTTGCTGAAGTGTTAAACCGCTCTCAGTCAGGGCTGAATTTGGAATGAATTCGCCTCCTCAGCATTCAGCTCAAAAGTCTCTCTCTTCTCAGATGATGCTGACCAATCAGGTTGCTTGGATCAGCCTGTCACTCAAGGCTCTCTGTTTCTGTGAAGAATTAACCCTTCACATTTCCTTACCTGTTTGTACAGCACTTCTAAGCTTTTAAAAGTGCAGTCTGTCACAGGAAGAATCCTCATGAATTAAGATGATGTTTACACCGAAACAAAATAAAACTGCTGTAATATTGTAAATTATGTTTTAGGGAGCACCACAAAATTCATGCATCCACCACTTCGTGGCACCACCCTGGCATAGGAACATAGTTCCAAAGCATGGATCCTCAAAAAAAGTTTTTGGTTAAGTCACCCCAAGCTCAACATAAAATCACATATTATGTCCATAGCCATAAATTACACCAGAAAATTAATGGATCCACTGCCTCGTGGATTTTTGTGCGGCACCACCCCAAACTCAGGGTACAAACTAGTGTTTCATAAACTGCATATAACATAATCAAGTCACATATTGTGTCTATAGCCATATATTGCACCACAAATATCACACATCCACTGATCTGTGACACCACCACGGCACAAAAACACAACGTTATTGGATAGTGAGTTTGGGGTGACCCGATGCAAAAATCCTGAAGTTCCATGAGGATCCAAGCTTTAGAACCTTGCTTTTGCACTGTGGTGGCTCCACAAATTGGTGGATATGTGATTTTTCTGGTGTAATTTGTGGCTTATGGACATGATATGTGATTTATCCTAAGTTAGAGGTGACCCAACACAAAAATCATGAGGATCCATGCTTTGGAACTATGTTTCTATGCCATGGCGGTGCCACAAAGCGGTAGATACATGATTTTTGTGGTTCTGCCTGTAGACTAAAACACGGTCTACAATACGACAGTTTTATTTTGTTTCAATATAAAAATCATACAAATTCATGTTCATATAAAAATCATTCACGAATTCCGTTTAAAATCACCTAGATCCAACTTTTACCCAGTCCCGCTACCCCGGAGCATTTGGGCTGCGGGGACGGGGATATAATTGTAAATATGTAAGTAAAAAATTCCGCATAGTTTTCAATGTTCAAAGCGCTTCACACACGTTATTTTGTTGTACCGTTTCTGGCATGCTGAGGCGATTTTCATACCCATTTTTAGACGCTATAAGAATGAGTTACAGCGCAACCCTAGCAAGTTTATCCTCTTGTAAGTCAATTTAAGTCAACAGTTTTAGAAATATGCAACTCTTTAGGACTGCACTGGGACAGGAGGATGGCCAAAACAATTTTCCAGATTGTCCCGTATTTCTCAGGGTTCTCCCGCTTATGTAAAACGTTTCCTCCGGTTCACGGACTGGTACTATATCCCCTGGCATCTCTGAAACTCTGTTTCCCTCAACTCTATGGTCAGGGCTTTGACCCGGAAGGGAAGGCTGTTTTCCGCCTGACTCAGCCGGCTACGGAAGAAGTGGGAAGCATGCAGGTCTCTAGCCTCAACGAGGTGAAGATCTACAGCTTGAGCGCCGGCCGGAGCCTTCCGGAGGTGAGAAAGCCAGTCTGCTCTCTCCAAGCGTCGGAAAGGTTTCTTCCCAGGGGCTTCTGCCTGCGTAGTTCTCTTCCCCGCTCTATGCAAAGAATCCCACCCTGTGCCACATCAAGGGAACCGCGTGCTTGCGGTATCTGTTAATGTAATCGGAATTTGTTGTTCAGTCGCACAGTCGAGTCCGACTCTTCGCGACCCCCTGGACCAGATCCCGCCAGGCCTTCCGGTCTTCCGCCGTCCTCTGAAGTTTGCTCAATTTCACGTTCGTTGCATCTATGACACTGTCTAACCATCTCATCCTTTGCCGTCCCCGTCTTCTTTGACCTTCAATCTTTCCCAGCATCAGGGTCTTCTCCAGTGAGTGCTCCCTTCTCATTTGGTGGCCAAAGTATTTGAGCTTCAGTTTCATTATCTGGCCTTCCAGGGAACAGTCAGGGTTGATTTCTTTGAGGATTGACGGGCGGAATGCCTCCTTACTTTTTTACCCCCCCCCCCCATTTTACCTAGTAGAGAAATTGCTACTGAGAACGCTGACTTACACTAAATAAGACCATTGATCAACCAAAGTCGATACTGTCTTATTCTCAGGTAGAGACTGCTGAGTATAGCTTTCTTTGCTGTCCTAACCTCAAGTATAAATATGTGCCTAGTAGTCCTAATCAACTGTATGCCTTTGAGGAAGTAGGCTGTACTCCACAGTAGTTTATGCTAGAATAAAAGTCTTTAAGGTACCTTTTTTTTTGCTGCAGATAGTCTTTCTGGAAAGTCTGTGTGGAAGTAGCCCCAGTGAACACAACAGAACTTATTTATGCATAGATCCAGGTGGGCAGCTGTGTTGGTCTGAAGCAATAGAACAGAGTTAGAGTCCAGTGGCACCTTTACTTATGCATAGACCTACATAGGCTTGAAGGCAGAATTGTATTCACAGACCATGTTGGAAGATTTGGAACACGTGTGTGCACGCGCAAGAGAATCTCCCCTCTTATCATGCTTAAAGTCCCGTAGTAATTTTCATGGGCTGGATCCCGCTTAAGACTCTAGCCCCTAACCTTAGCTGTGTTTTTAATACTGTACTTCTAATTGTTAACTTTTATTGTGCTGTGTTTTTATTATGGTATATTTTGTAAGCCGCCTGGAGATGCTACTTTGGAAAAGTAGCATAGAAATGTTCTTAATAAAATATTGATGAAAAAAGGCAGCAGGTTTGAGGCTGACAAGACATATGGTCAACCATGCATCCAGTTGCAGCCTCTCACTAAACATACTTTGGGCTGTAACATGCCTGAATTCACTATGATGCCTGATCTGTGCATATGGCTGAGTGTCATCATGGAAGCTGGTGCCACGGCTGCTATGGTTGTGTTGATGGCTGAATAATCCTATGCAGGCGGTAAAGATGTCACCACAGAGATTCCACTACAGTCATTGCTACTTAATTCAAAGCAAGAATTGCTAACCTTCATTCCTGCATATTTGCTTTTCTTCGGTACTGTGGATGAATTTTGCTGCCCGCCTTCTATCATACGGCTGTGCCAACTTTCATCTCTCCAGTTTGTTGGGTATAGCCCACAAGGACTCAGATGTACTATGAGAATATCCTTGCTGTGCATTAGCTACCCAGACAGTTATATGCTTTCAGCTTCCTCTTAAGTGACACTAGTGGGGTCTCCTGGTCAAGGCTTACATACTCTTTTAATACTTATTTTTCACTCTATCGGTTGAGGCAGTGGAGATGTGCTGCATGCCCAGAAGATGAAAAAAACCTCCAGGATCTCCAGCCAAACTGGCCTGGAGACAAATTGCTTCCTGACCCCAACGTGGCGATCAGCATTTCCCTGGGCGTGTAAGAAAGGGCCACAAGGACTAAGCACTGATGCAACTCTTCCTGCCCTCCCTCTCATGATCTGCTATCTATGTAGCCAGTCACTGATTTGCAGTATTTTTCTTTCCTTTCCTAAGCCATGGCTTTCATAAGCCATGACCTTAAACAGGAAGAACTGACAAAAACACAACCTGCACTCCTAATTCCTTCGCCTTTTAATCCAGAGCCCCATAGTCTCTGTTAATATGTTCTGGGCTGTGCTGGGCAGTATCATTTGTTTCCACATGGATGAGCAAGAAGGGATAATAATCTTTGGGCTTGATAAGTCTTCCTACCTTTTCCATTACATGCTGGATGCATGCACCCGGTAGGCAGCATACCTCTCGAGACGACAAGTCCCGTCTGCACACTTTAGCTTCTACCCCCCTCAGTAGGGAATCCCCAGTTACCAACAATACTGGGGAGCAGAAGCTCGAGTCCTCTCATCCACAGGGGTCTGAGAAATTTCCTTCAAGCTTCGTGGAGGCTGGGGGAGGAGCCCTTGTTCCAGTGGTTCAGAATCACTACCTGTGGGGAGATCCAGGAGCCGATTGCTTAGTAACAGAGGCTCAGAATGTCTCTTGATTTTCCTGGTTCTGTGGGTTACATTCTTCCATGTGCCCTCCTCCCTTTCCTCCTCCTCCTGTTGCCCTCTCAGGAGTGTAAGATCTTATTTAAGAATTCTACGATGGGCACCATCTGGTCCTGGTGGTTTGTTCTGGTGACTTATGACAACCCTGTAGAGTTTTCACAGCAAGAGACGTTCAGAGGTGGTTTGCCACTGCCTGCCTCTGTGTCATGACCCTTGTATTACTTGGAGGTCTCCCATCAAAATACTAGCCCGTGCTGACCTTGCTTAGCTTCCGAGATCTGATGAGATCAGGATAACCTGGGCTATCCAGGTCAGGATGGTGATCTGTTAGTTTGCAATTTGTCTATAAGCTCTAGAAGAGGGGTGTCGAACTCATTTGTTGTACAGGCCGGATCTGACATAAATGAGACCTTGTTGGCCGGGCCATGTGTGTCATAAAATGTAATGTCAGGTAGAGGAGATATAAACTTTATAAAGGACACAAACTCAAAGGGTTTTTTTTACTTAAAATAAAAACATGCTTTAAACATTAGCACTTTTGCAATATTTTGTTTATTTAACCGTCTCTGATAACTGACACCTCTTGCTCTGAATTATTGCATCAAAATGTCTGTGCTGTTGCAATCTTGGGTATGCTGTTCAGGTGTGTATCTATAAGTTGCAAAGTTGCAGCAGCAGATCTGGAAGAAGAAGCAGAAGACAGCCAGTTCCACTGCGGGCCTGATATAAGCCCTCCATGGGCCTGATCTGGCCCCCGGGCCACATGTTTGACACCCCTGTTCTAGAACTTGCTCCCTTGTCACCACTATTTGTCTATGCTCCACATCCTCCCCTGTTAACTATATATATGTATTTTTTCAGTGGCTTTCTGATAGGAAGAAGAGAGCATTACAGAAGAGAGATGTTGGTGAGTTTGCCTTGTCCTCCAATGAGAAGAGCATTGCTTTATTAGCCCCAGGGTTCACCTCTGCTTGCATAAGGTGGTCCGAAGGTGCTGAGTAGTTGTGTGTTCATTTCCAATCCCATTTGAGGATGCTGTTTTTGATTTATGCAGCCCTACAAGTACTGAAAGGATTACGTGTCGTCTTCATGTAGTCCTGTCCACATGCCATACTCATCATCTCAGGCCCTCTTTTGTGTCTGCACCCCATCACCTGATTTCAAAGGTGATGTGAGCGTGTCTTCATGTAGTCCTGTCCATATGCCATACTCATCATCTTTTGTGTCTGCACCCCCATCACCTGATTTCAAAGGTGATGTGATTGGCTGCAATGGATAGTGCTTTTTCAGTGGTGGCCCCTCTCTTCCCTTGTCCTGGTGCCATCTCTGGATGTTTTTCCACAGGAGACCAAGGGGTGTGTGTGTGTGTTTTAATGCAGTAGATTTTTAGTTATGGTTTTGTTTCCCCCCTAGATGTCTTGCTTTTCTGTCACTCAGTGGTTTCGTTTAACTGTTCTTGTTTTTAAGATACAGATGCTATTTTTAGTTGTACCAGGTGATACAGTTAGTTTTCAATGTTGTTTTAGTTGATATTACTTATCAATCACTTTTATAATTGAATTGTGTATTGTTGTAAATTCTCTCTGGCACATGTCTGAGAAGAGATAATATATACATGTTTTAGATAGATTAATACTATCTAAACAAATAGAATACAGCTAGTTCCAGCTCCAAATGTGCATAAGAAGGGTTTAAAAAATGTGAAGTCAAATAAATTTCAGTAGTGGCATTAAGCACATGCTTCAATCCACTTTCTTCTGTTGAAATCCATGGCATTTTAACAAGACGCTTTACGCTGAGTTGCACCCTTCATAAATAAGAACTTGCAGTCCCAGTACTTGTACATATACTTGAAAGCAAGTCCTGTAATGTTCAGTAGGTCTTGCTATCAGGTAAATATGCATAGGATTGCAGCCTTTAGTTATTAGACACATATAATTCCACAAGAATTTTTAAAAGGGGCGGAAAAAAACCTTTTAGGATTCATATTTATGCTCTGTGTAAAAGTTTGCCAAAGGGACAAAGTCTTGGTCCACAATCCAGTGTCAACCTCAGTGCAGCCTGCTTAAATACACATAATTTAGTACTGGACTGCAGCTTCAGAGTTTGAGGACACTTTGATTTTTAAAAAAATATTATGAGGCTGTTATAATCTGTCACCTGTTCAAAATGAAGAGAAAATTAAAAAAATTAAGCACTACTTAGAAATGGTTTCCACTGCAGTAATTCAGTTGATCACTAATTTGCTTCAATATTCCCAGTCGTCATATTACTGATCAACCGATGCTACAGTAGCTATTAAACGTCAATAACTAATGCTGATAATGGACTAGATTGTATGTTCCTCTCCTTTAAAAGCTTGAAATTACTGATGCATAGACAACATAGAACAAATTAATCTGTACTGAACATTCAGTTTAAGACTAGACATTTCTGCTAAATCCAATGCATATGTTGAAATGTAATGACTCATTTCAGTCAGTCAATTTTTTTTCTTACAAAAAACCTGTTCATCATGTTATGTTGGCTAGCCAGTCCTTAGGATGTGTTTTTGTTTTTGTTTAAAAGACATTCAAAGGAGAATTGAACTTATCCAAGACTTTGACATGCCCACGGTTAGCACGAATATCAAGGTTTCGCGAGATGGGCAATTTGTTATGGCAGCAGGTAAGTATGCAGACACTTTGGTCCTCCCAGACTTCTGGCAGCCACATTGCTTTAAAGCAGTTTTCAGCCTCCAGAGTGATCTGATCTTAATCTTCATTAGACCTGGCTAATTCCCCATTCTTTAATCTTTCTTTCTGTGCATAAATTAAAGAAAATGTAATCTTCCCAGTCCAGTCCAGTGGGCTAGAATATAGCCTGTTAGATAAACTATCATTGTACCAATCAGCTGTTTGGGGAGGAAATAACAAATAAGAAATTGTGCTAAATTATTCAGAATATTGACATGTCAGTTATAGAATTAATACTGTCAAAAACAAACAAATGTGCAATGAATTATTTATGAATATAAACAGTGATATAAATATTTGACACCAGCACCTCAAAAAAAATTACTTATTTATTAAATTTGTATTCC